TTGGTAGGGGTGAGGATTCCATCAGAGCTTTTGCAATACTCGCCTTTTGTGATGACACTGCTCATCACAGTTAATGGCTGGGTGGAGCATTCGTATGGGTACACCTACCCAATCAGTTTTACATCATCCGATTTCAAAGTCGTTCGCGGAGACGAAATGACGAGTGAGTAGACTGATTCAACCCAGAATAGACCAAAATGAGGCCGAGCAAAATACAGAGCTTTAAAATTATTAGCAATTATTTGTTTGAATTTTTTTCCGTGCAAAATCGAGAGTAGCGAGAGTGGCTGAATTAAATGGCTGAATTAAAATATCCAAGGCATAAAGACATCGTAAAAGCAAGGGAGAATAATTATTCATTCCCTCTTAGATGTACCATTGGGAAGATTACATACTTTCTTCTCTCCTGCAGAATTCCTCGTTTAGCTGCTTCTTTCGGTTGAAGAAATTTGGGTAAAATGAGGCATTTCATAAATATGTCTTTCACGCTAAAGCTTTTAGTTTTGTTCAAGGTGTGAGAAACTTCCCGCACCCCCAAATACTCACAGGCAATTGGTTTATCATCTTCACCAGCAGATGTCTCAGAGTAACCTCCCTACGTTTTCGGTCGGTTTAACCAATATTTTGGTTGATCACCGAAAAAAATTAACTGAAAGTATAGGCAACCCGAAGTATAGATAACCATTAACACATCGATTTTTAACCGTGTAGCTGCGGGACCGTCCTTAAATTACGTAAAACTCGTGAAAGGGAGGGGGGTTGAGGAGAGCGTTACGCCATTTTGTTTTTACATGTCAAAGGATAGAGACCTACGTCACAAAAGTGTTACAAGGGGGGGGGGGGTGAATAAAGAGTGCCGAAAGTGTGCGTTACGTAATTTAAGGACGGGCCCCAGTAACCCTATATCTTTCGAAAGTATCTGCCCGGCGACAAATTGCACCCTCCCGAATAACTCTACTTTCAATGTACATCCTGCATACAAAGTCATTCGGGTCATAGTAAGAGAGCAAGGGAGGACCGCCGACGCGACAGACAGGAACGTTGGAACGTGGACGAATAACGTTACTCGAGATCACCATTTCCGATTTGCCCGTAGAGGCGCTAGATAATAGTTTTGCATATGGGAGGAGCCGGAAAACTGTCTCGGGATCGGCGTTATGCGAAATAATATAGAGACCGTAATTCCTCGTGATCACTGGATTCTTCCAAGCATGAAAAAGAATCATTTCAGCGTTGTTTGTTGCCACATCGGTTTGTAAAAAAAAAAAACCTACTTTGAAACATCTCATCGTAATTGCAACTTTGCAGCATTTCCAATTTATGGCCTTTTCTATCTATCCATAAACCCGTGAATCGACCCACAAACCCCTGAATTGATTGACACATCCGTGAATTGATCGACAAGCCCATAAATCGTTCGACAAACCCGTGAATCAATCGAATTTGTCGATCGGTCTACGTTTTTTTTTTCGATCGAATCCTCACCGGTTTTTTGATAATTTGTCCATCGGTTCACAACGATCGATTCACGTTTTTAATTTTCGATCGAATCTATGCCCTCCGTTAGGATTAAGTTAGCTGCAAGGAAGTAATGATGAAATATACTTTTTTGTCTTTAAATCTCGTGAATCTTTGAGTACAATGATGCTATCTACGACCCGATATGCCCCATCTTTTACGTGACAAATGCATGAGGATGGTGTCTCGCTTCGATGGTGATGAGGATGGTGTTCAGGCTCCTTGATGAAGGAGCCTGAAAGCCGAATTACGGAGTAAATTTTACTGGCAGCATCGGAGTCGCGATTGGCCCCAAGCAGGGGCTGGCGCAACGTCTTGTCAATATGGGTGTATGCGCTGCGCCGTACACTAATTACACTACCGATGATATGGTAATATTAATGTAAGCGTAAGTACTTACCGGAACCACGCTCAGTCACCGAGTCTCACTCTCCCGTCAATCGAGTGCTAGGATAATAGGCTTGGTTGCAGTAGCTTCGAGCCGATATTGCATCCACTCTTGGCGGTGGGTTTGAAGATGTAGCTCGAAGGGGATGCGGAGATGCACCAAGTGTACAGAAGGCGCCCAGAGGTAATCGAAGGGCATGGAGAACAAGGAGCATTTATGTGCAGTTTTTGCTGTTTTAAGAAATACATGTTAGAAGCTTCGAAATTACATGGAGCCTTATGGCAGAAAGGGAAGTTTAAACTCACTTCTTGATGCTTTTAAGTTGGATTTTAGTCGTGAACTTTTCACAGAATATACTTTCAAACTTATGAACTTAGTTCATGAATAGGTAACTTAATTTTTTCCAAAACTGCACTTATGCGCATTTTCCTCAAAGTTCCTCAATTTTTTTGTAACCCTTAGAGTTGAAACTTTAAGAAGGTTCAGCCCTAAATCAATGAGGTGGCCCATAGAGTGGTTATAAAAACGATTGTATCTCAGATCAAAAAGATTTTTCCTGCTACAACAATTCCTAGAAATATACCCAGCAGATCGTGGACGACAGCATGATAAATCTCACATCGTAATTGCCATGAACAGCGAGGAGAAAGAAGAGAAGAGAAGGAATCTTCCAGGAAAGGAAAAAGAGAGAGAATATTTATCGAAACGAAGAATTGGAATGTAAGGGAAAAAGAGATCTTAGAAACCGTGAAAAGGGAAAAGAAAGATTCATGCGAACAAAAAAAGCCAGAAATGAGTCTGCTGAGCTAACATTATTAAAACAGTAGGTACGTCTACGGAACAGATGGAAGTAACTCCTATGAGCATGACGGATGGACCCGTGTAACTTATGTTGCATCTCTAGGAATTGAAGGTGAGCGTTTACAACATGCGACAGCCGACATCTTAATAAAGTGTATATCGCAGACGTGTAATATTTCGGCTGGGCCCGCCTCGCAAAGTTAAACAAGTTTAAATTGTTTACTTTCCTTTTTTTGTCTACCTCGCTCTTTAGTACAACCCCGGCCTAATTGTTTAGTGCCTAATGTTGAAATAAAAAACAGGGCATATGAATGTTCATACCTTTTCAAGTTTTAAGATTTCTCTTTCATGCGTTTTCCCTCTTTTCATCAATATTGTTTGAAAAATATTTCAAGGGAACTGTTAAGATTCGTTACATTCTGTTTAATTCTCCCGCCGTACCTTTGTATCTCTGTTGATTTCAAAAAACGTTCAAGCACGCTACAAAGTTGCAATCTGTCCATTTTGTTTGTAAGAGCTTTTTATTAATCTCAACTTCTCAGCAAATTCTGCAAAGAGACATGTCTCGGAAAGTTTACAATGTCGTAAAAAGGTGTTGCAATCCAGCGAGAGGTCTTTCCTTCTCTTTTTCTTTCGCCGAGATTCAGACTCTGACATGGTTCACATAGTTGCGCCAGGGTACCTAGGTAAATCCACAGTAATTATACGCCCTGCGCCAACGGAAGGTTGTGCGGAAAAAAGTTTGTTCAAAGCAAGGCAAAAATTTTTTAGGAAATTTAAGATCACGTGAAAGTTTCCTATCTCTTAGAATACCTGAAAAAAGAAAAACTTAGACACGCCTAAAAGAGATTTATTATGGTGTAGAGTACAAATGGATATGGTACACCATTACGAATGGATTGCATTTTGCAAAAAAGAACCAAGAGCATTCCAATGTTGCTAGGATTGAACAACCTACATTATTTGCAAAAATTTACAGAAATCATGAAAAAAATTAAATTTACAAAGGTGATTTTCGTCTTGAATTCATAATTTATAGGGAGTAAAGATAAAACTTTTTTAGATGGTCAGTTTCTATTTGCAAATCTTAGTGACATTGGAATGCTTGTGGTTCCTTTTTACCGAATGCAATCCAAATAAAATAAACGGAACCAAAATAACATGGAAATAGAGCAGGGGTAAGAACGCGCGTCGATGACGGCGCCGAGATACAACTATTCGTGCTTGATGGATGTCCGTGCGGCATCTGCAAAAATCGAAGGCGCGATTGCGCGAGGCGTGACCTCGCAATGTTCCGCTCTATGCTGCCAATAAGGTGTCGTTCAGATTCGGGAGTTGAGTTAAAAAACATCAATGGTACATAGTACTATATTAATGGATAAGCACTGTCGTTTACATTGCGATAGGACCAAAATGCGAGAAATTTTAGATACGTTTCAGTTCGTTTGTGTCTGTGTTTATGACTTCATAACCTTGTGGTTCACCTAGTCTGAATGGGCCCTCATGGAGGATACAGGTGGAAAAATTCGTCTATTTCGCTTTTCAAAGCATCAGACAAGTGGTGAAACTTGAAAATAACATTGACCCTCTTCAAACTTTAAAACTTTTGAATCATGACCATTATGCTTCGTTTTTCTGCATTTACAAAAAAATTGTGTTTTGCTAAGGTCAATTTTGCCTTGCGATCAAATGTTACTACTGACTGCTGGAAATTTTCAGGATAGAGTGACTAGCATGACCATTTCCACTGAAGCACGACCAGTGCTTTTTTTAACACTATTATTGGTGCAATTTTCAATAAGGGGTAAATAGATAATCCAGTTCCTGTTTTTTTGGTGGCAATAAATACGGAGCAACAAGCCAAAAATTTTCAGTTAGCGTTCTATATAATTCGAGTTTGGTAAACCATGGCTTGATTCCATGAGATTTTAGGGTTCAATCTCACACATTAGAGCGAAAATGGGGTTCTTCGCCTGCAATTACGGTTACTGGTATTTGTTCAAAGTATTTGAAAAAGCAACTTAACTATGTAAGAATAAATGGACCACATTTTGCAATTAGGAACTATAAATTCCGGCCCGGTTTAAAAACAACGTATGTGTCATTATTTTCCTTATGTACACAAGTGTTTTTCCAGGAGAGCCAGAATTTATAACTCCAAATTGCAAAATGCAGTCCAAATAATAAAATATCCTTTGTTACTCGAAAGCCAGGAAGCAATCGACACAGTATTCAAGTACGACTTCCTACTTTCATATTTTTCATCTCGGGTGACAGGGAAAAAAACGCCGTATTCAATCACGTAGAAAAATATATTTCTATGATCTATTCACAAAAATTCAACAACAAAATATACACAAATAAAGTCAATAGTCATACAACGCAGCTAGCGTTGTAAAGTCTTGGGATACAGTTCAGTCATCAGTCTGCTTGGGTTTGACGAAAGGGTAGTAGAGCCACGCCGACGCTCCGAAGATGAGAGAAAGCCCGAGAACGTGGAAAAGGATCTTGTTCGAGTCCAAGTACTCGTAGAACACATTGCAAATGGGCGTCCCGAAGAGCTGGAGCACGCCGTTGACGAAGAGGGTTATCCCGTAGGATCGCGAGAGGCGCTCCAGCCCGAGGAGATCGACCATGACCACAGCCGTGATCCCGACGTAGGTGCCGGAGGCGAGGCCGAAGATGGCGCAGACGAAGGCCATCGCCTCGTAGCTCGGGATGAGCGGGAGGATGAACAAGGAAATGCCCGAGACGAGGAGTCCACCGGTGAAGTACACGATCCGGCTCACCTTGAGCCAGTCGGAGAGGGCGGCCCCGCCGACTCGACCGATCAGATCCAGGGCGGCTATCACAGACAAGAGGTAGGCGGCGTGGGACTTGCTGTAGCCCAAGTCCACCGCGTACTTGGGCAGCAGGAGGGTGAAGTTGGTGTACCCGATGGCGTTGGAGCCGTTCGAGATGAGGATGATGATGAAGATGGGGTCGCGCAGGAGCGCCAAGTAGTCGTCCTTCAGGGTCGACGTCTTCTTCTTGGCCGGGGGCTTGGTCGGCGCCGGCTTCTTCGGCTTGCAGCAGTCCAGCACGGTCCAGCCTTGGCTCCTCTTCGACTTGGAGGAGTACTCGGGGTTCAGGCCGACCAGCGTGCTCCCGTGGAAGGCCGTGCTCACGTACTGGAGCGACGAGGAGGAGACGGTGCTGATCTTCCGCTTGCCGCGAGAGCTCGGCACGTAGTAGACGACCGAGGGGTTCTTGGAGTTGACCGAGATCTTGCGGAAGACCTGGCCGGTGCTCCCGAACTTCTGGATGGGGAGGCCGTCGTAGACCCCGGAGCGGACGCTGATCTTCCGCGGGGAGGCGATGGCGTCGGTGGGGATGAGGGGGAGGTTCTTACCCCGGTCTTTGCTGAGCAGGTAGTCGGACTTGGACTGCTCCAGCCCGTTGCTGATGATCTCGGTGGGAGGCGAGAGGTTCAGTTCTTTGACGAGGGCGCTGATCGAGCCGTTGGAGCTGCTCTGGTCGGTGATGGTCTCGAGCTTCGTGTCCGTCGTGTCGTTGGAGGGCTGCTGCTCCGCCTTCGAGTCTTTCTCCTCCTCTTTCCGTTTGGATTTGTCCACGTAGACCTTCTTCATGTGCATCTCCACGGGGTGGTAGAACATGGCGCCCACCAGCACGTTCAGGGTGAGACCTCCTATGATCAAGACAGCGCCTCTGTGAAACAGAAAAAAAGGAGCACTTAAATTGCGACAAAAAATGGTGAACATAATGAACAAGTCAACGTATTGCTGCTAAACGGAATTACACCGGAAAACAAAGTCGCTTGGATCTAGAGTCCAGACTCTTAATAACATTGACAAGAAAGAATACTCTTGATTCAATCAGATTTTTCCTTGAATCGAAGAGCCAAGCTTCTTGATTTAAGCGGATTTCCTTTTGATTCAAGCAAAAATCCGATTGAATCAATAGTATTTTTTCTTGCCAAGGAACACAAGAGTCTGCACTCCAGATCCAAGCGACTTTTTTCCCCAGTGTACGGACGAGTGGGAAATATGGGGTTGGGGTGTGCTCTAGGAAGCTGCAAAAGAAACAATGTAAAAGTGGGCGTGATTCCCTTTGAGGAACTAGAAAAGCTGAATTTTAAATTGTAGGCACCCAACAGAACTACTAAGCGCCAACTGTATGCGGCACTCATGGGCCGTGGGCATGTGTCAAGAGCATTGTGGACAGGGTTCATGAGTTGTAGACACCCAATGGGCGACCTTGTCACCGCTGACGTAACTGGCACTTTATAATTCTCATTCATTCTCAAGGCCCTCAACTAAAGAGCACACCCCTTCTTTTCCACCTGTCTCTGGTTCCGTTTAGCAGAAATACGTACAAGTATAGTTCTCCCTGTCTTCTAATTACGAACTCTAATTTTAATTCTCTTCATGTTCTCAGATCTGGAGTGGGACATTAGCTGGTGATCGGACCACGATCGGAGAGGAGGTGGAGTTGGTGAGTGATTCAACAATACATTGATTTATATGAGCTATTTGATTATCGATTTCTTCTATTGAGCCAAGTTTTTTCAGCGATATTTTCGAGTCGAATCCTGCTCGGAATCAGTCCCAATTCGTCGATTTATTGTAGAGTTTATGGATTTTTTGTTTGAAAATGTAGTTCATTGATACGTTTCAGACAACTTACTAATGATCCGAGGGTCGATCCGTGGTGTCCTCGGGGAGTGCATAATGTTTCCCCAATCCTTTGCTTTAAAAAAACATAACATATCAGGGGCCAAAGCGCCAGGCCAGTACGTTGGATCTGTTCCATTAAATGTATTAATTTTTAGGGAAACAAGCACCGACTTTAATATGGTTTCTCGTCGATTATTTTTGTGGGAATTCCAACTGCGATGCTTGGAATTGAAGTCGCCGCCACGAATGGATGAGTCACCCAGGTAGAAGCAGAAGTCATGTAGATGGTTAAAATTTACCATTGTTTCTTTGCCTTGACTCCCCCTTCTGCACTCTCTACCTTTTACACCCTCTCCCCCATAAAGAACCATTCTCTACCCTAACTATTTACCATTCATTTCTACATGTAAAGTTCACGCTCTCTTAGACTGCGACAGAAGGACGCAAGACATCATTTTAGCATTTAAAGTAAATGCAAGAATTCAGGAGGTGGGTCCTGCCGCTTTCTAAAAGTGCGTGAACTCCATCAAAACTGTGTTTATGACCAATGGATGTAAAATTGACTTAGTGGGTGTACTTGATGACATTGATTGATCGACTGGTGTTCAACTTTCATTAAGTTATAAGTGCTTAAAATTTTGCTCATTAGTTGTTCCTGTCGCAAACAAACTAGGTCTCTAGAAAAACTTCCTAGCCAATACCAGTGATTGATAACGTCAACCATTTTCCACGGTTCTGATTTAGATCGAGTCAGCGGTAATTTCTCACTTCGACCGTTTTCAGAGTTTTCCGAGTATATTTCGAGCTGTTTTTACCATGAGAATTCACTTGCAGGAATGCGGTACGTTTTGTTCAAGACGTGATTGTTCTCAGGTAGTGCGTTGATAGAAAATAAAAATGAAACATCAGAGTTAAACTTTCAGTTTCGCTATAAACGATTAGATTTTTTCCAGCTTAAAATATCTACAACATGGTGTTCGGGCAGAATTTTTGCTGCTCCAAAATCTGCTCAAGCTTGTTCGAGTCAAGAATACCCTTTCGTACCATTCGATCACCATGTGAATTGATGTTTGAAAAGGGAATCCTTATGACGCAATACCATCAAAATGCGATTCTGTGAGAACCGCAACCGGCCCCATTATATTACTAGCTTCATAGGTCTTTCCGCATCTCGAGATCATGGGACGTGGTTACAGCTCCCAAACTTTGAACTAACTGTATGTCTGAACCCGTGGTGTTTTTGATGAACCTGGTACCTTGATGCTCGTGTCGGTTCGGTTCATGGACACGGTCTCTAGACCCAGACTCGGATCCGGTACACGTATACATTTTTATTTATTTATTTATCTATTTATTTATTTATTTATTTATTTATTTTGTAAATACAACAGAACTACAAAAGTATTAACCGTTTTTTCGTTAAAGTATACATGAAGCTCGTAAATGCATCAGTAAAGTTCTATAACGTTAATGTCGTTCGAACCTTGGCTGCAGTACAATTGGTCGCATCATGATGAGAATGAAGGCGCAAGGTAAAACGCCAATTAATGGCTCAAAACATTCTCAGTCTGCGTTTACTTAACGTGTGTTTGATATTTCCCCCATTCTGCGAACGCTGTTACCAACATTATTCTATTATTGCCTGATTCAGAGTAGGCTGTAATTAGCGCGTTGAATCTGTTTTCCACCATTTGAGGTTTTGAGAGGTTATGTCGCTTCGAAGAGAGCATCGCTTCATGACGAACCGCTAGACAAGTTTTAGATTGAAAAAAGCTATTTAAATAAAATGCTTGTTTTGAGTCTTTGCTATTACGCATGTTAAGTAAAAATATTTAAATTTTCTTCGGGACTAAGGGGTACGCCTACGAACTGCTCTACGGTCCAACTCCCCCCCCCCCCCCGGTGCTTCCTGCCTTAGGCGTTATGCGTTACGCGTTACCCGTTACTCTCATGATTTTATGTTAATTCCATTATTTCCATTCTAATTTAATTTCCGAACTTCTGTTGTTTCGATTATTTTTTACGAAACGTTTTTAAGAGAAAGCATGTAACCGAGTACTTACATCTGTGCTTACGCTTGTGCTTTATCGGTAATAATCGGGACTTCAGTTTCACCTAAAGCAAATCACTGAAATCTGAAACCGTAAACTTACCGATATCCATAATTATTAAGCAGGTATCCAATAAATGCGGGTAGGAACATAGATCCGAGGGCACTGCCGGATATAGCAATGCCGTTGGCGAAACCACGATATTTAACGAAGTAAGAGGTCGTGATGAAAATTCCGGGCGGGAACGACAATCCTGCGCCTGCTCCAAGCATCACTCCAAAACTGAAAACCAAAATTAAAAATCAAGACAAGCTGTCATGCAGTCGCACAATGCAGCCACCTAACGCCCTTTTGTGAGACATCGCAATTTTCTCAATCTATTGAGTACTTGAGAGTCCTTACAATCGTCTCTTATTGAGCAATTTCAAGAATCAGTCAGGCTCATTTTGATGGCTAAAGTGCAAAACCACTTATCATTGTTTGCAACGTTCCAGACTTCCTGCCATACTCTATTTTTTCCGTGGAAAACTAGTCCACTCGATTTCTTGAAAACTCCCCTGGTTTTTCCTCCGTGTCGTCAGAATATTCTGTATAGATTTCAGTCAATTTAGTTTGCTTGTTTCTCTTCGAAAACATAAAACAGGGGCGGAAATTTTGAAACACCGCAATCGAGATATGTAGTTTTGCACTACGGCAATCTATGTACAATATATAATTTTTAGTGTTTTTTCCTGTTTTAACGAATAAGTTCAGAACTCTCATTGCTTAATGAATCTGGGAGTGAGCTCTCCCACCCCTGTTGTGATTTTAACTCACAGTTAGAGAGCTTTTCAAGAGCTTGGAAGTTGATCTAAAAGAAAATCTGAGCCATATTTATCTCTCTCGCAAAATATTACGCAACGATGATGAGTTAAATCGCAAATCCCGCATACTTTTGCAGAAACTTCATTTTGGAGTGGCAGCGTCTGAAGTGCTTTGATTTACACATGTTGTCAAACGGCCGATTATTTGGCTACTTCACGGATTCAGTTTAGTCGTTATATATGTATAAGTACTTTTATACTCTACAGTGTTATTTTACATCAATTTTTATTTGACAATAACTTTTTCTTTGGTCCTCGCTCTATTTACTGCTGAGCAGTCTAGATTAGCCTTAAGTGTCCTAAATGAAATCCTCGCAAATATTTCTACCTTAATCCGATACTTATAGTTATGAACCTCGCGTAACGAATCTTATTCGAGCTGTGTTATGTTCGATCTCATCAACATTTCATTCATTTTCTCCAATGGACCACGAGACAAGGTACGAATTTAAGCGATCTGATACATGTCTCTTAACCAGAATTTCACGTAGAACACGATTCACACAACGAAAATTACTGAAAGCAATTCCTAACGAAGATATTAACGTTTTTTTTTCACATTGGTTACGAGGAATTTGAACTGCCCGCTCACAAGAAACTCAAAGCTCTACATGAGTCAAGTCGCCCACTAAAACAGTTTCAGCAAGCTTCTCAATCGAGCAACGTATTCATTTCCCACCATGTGTTGTTCAAACTATTAGCAATTTGCTATAACTGAGCCAAAGCGTCAATATTGAGGTTGCCAGATTTTTAAATCGCAGAGACTGTCGCATGATAACGTTTAGCGCGCGATGTGAATCACGTAGAGCATTGAGTTTTCATGAGCGGGTGGTTTGAATTCACGCATCAAGAATCATCAAATATCTTCGTAAGGAGTTAATTTTGGTGATTTTCGTTGTGTGCATCCTGTTTTACGTACAATTTCGGTTAAGAAACATGTATCAGAGTGCTGAAATTCGTACCTTATCTAGTGGTCCATTGCAGAAGTTGAAAAGCAACTGCTTGTACATATCGATGGCCGAAGTGGAAAACCTCGTATCTGTGTTTACGGCGTTGCAGACTTCCCGGCCTGCCAGGAGAATATTCCGTCCAAACTTCATGCTCTAAAAATTGCCTGTTTAGCTCAGAAACATAAAAAATGCGAAAATTTTGGAACATCGCAATGTAGTTACGTGGTTTTGCGCTCTGGCCGTGCATATGCTTCACACTTGGTCAAACCTCTCTTAATGCTTATCAAACGGTCTTGGTACTTTCGATATTTAAAGCTTACGACTATTTGCGCAGAAGCGGATCCAGCACTTTGGCAACACCGAATTTCCTCCATTTAAACCTATGCTAAATAATCGATTCTTGTCGGAGCACCTGGCCCCTTCAAAAATCGATACAGTTCCATAGGTTTAAATGGTGAAAAGACAATGTTGCCAATTTGCTGGCTCCGCCAATGTATTTGCGTCATGCGAAGCCACCCTCCCCGCATCATGACATATGTTCAATAGATGCATGTCAATGACTCTACGAAGTCAATAGGTATATATCCAGCGAATCCGATTCGATTTCGGTAGTTGACCCTGCACCTGCGACGAATGAACCCACGTTGGAAGGTTGCCATGCAACGGGCCATTCTTTATCTCGTGTTTTACCCCTGTGCAGTTCTAGACAAAATCATAATTATTTTGTATTTTAACGCGACTTTTAACACTCCTGTGCTTTCAGAAAATCAAAAGGCTCGCGTCACAATAAGGACAGCGTAAGGCCCTCTCGCTGAATTAATGTCAGTGATGAACAGTGCTTAACCTCTCCTAAAAAATTAGACTAAGTCGATTTTATTTTGTGAACTTTTGCACAGGGCCGGATTTACCTACTTGCCGCCCATGCAGGCCCGCCACATCCCATCTCGGGCCCTGGTACCAATTTTCTGGCCCGGGCCCCTAGGATAGGGGGGGGTCCGGGGGGCCTCCCCCGGGAAATTTTTAAAATTTTAAATCTATTTGGACGCATTATGAAGCTCTTATGATGGATATTTCCCATCAATTTCTGCAGAATAATTACGCCTTTTTGTTTACTTTCAGCACCAAAAACTTTCGAATTGTTGCATTCAAAATATCTATAAATTTTTTTTTTGAGGGGGCAGATGATAATTTTCAATTCTAAGGGGAGCCGGGCCCCCCTGGACTCCTCTTTCGTACGTCTATGGCAAGGGAGTTAAGCCATTGAAGTCGAGGATGCCCAGAAAGGAGCCTCTTAGCATCCGACAACGGAAGAAAATGAAACACAGTTACTAAAAATATCATTCTACACATACTCAAAATCTTGAAAATCTCTAAAAAAGTAAGAAAAATTTTATAGTGCCCTAGCGTGTTTTTGAAACTTTATTCACCTTTTGCGAAATTTTTAGGGTAATTTCTTCACTTTTCCCTACGAGACAAGGGTTACACATGAATTCGTAGTGGTTTGTCACCTGCGTCACGGGCCCCTCCAGGGCCCGGGCCCCGGTACCAAGGACCCAGTATCCCCCCCATGTGGCGGGCCTGCGCCCATGGGCCGCTTGTATTTTGCCGCCCCCTTCTCATTCGTTTTGAAACATCAATGAAAACCAACAGGGGAAGGAGTGCACAAGACGCGTTTACTCGTGTTGGACACATTTTTTGCGAAAGTCCTGTCTACGCTACCAGCAAAAGTTCACGGAACTTTGCGCGAAAATTAAGTTCTGTAAACCTATCTCTGTGTGGACAAGGCCTTTCATTTATAAGAAATAAACGAAAAAATTATGAAAGAACAAACATTAATGTGGTTTAATAATCTTAACTTCCGCCGTCGCCGTGCCGCGCTGACCGCACTGTGTTTGGCGCAATGCGTGAAGTATTCATGCAGTCTCGTAGGCGTTATGCGTTTCACGCCGACCGCTGCTGGCCGCACTGTATTTGACGCAATGCGTAAAGTATTCATACAGTCTTGTAGGCGCTAATACATATGTGTTACATGCCGTTCCAAGCCAAATTGCGTGTTTGATTTCTCTTTTAACTCGACTAATTAAAGGTGCTGTTCCTTGTATCACCTACAGATGACAAAATTAGAAATTACTATACTCTCAGGAAATGAGAGATGTTGTCGCCTCTTTTCGTTTGTAATTTTTTTTTCTGAATCCGGATTTTTTTATACCTACATTTAAAAAAAATGTAAAATTTGCCGCCCCCTAATTTTGCCGCCATGGGCCGCGTTCCATGTGGCCACCTCCTACATCCGGCTATAGATTCAATTAGCCAAATAGTATAGATTTGAGGGAATTCAGGTTTGGCCCAAAAAAGGCCCTATCGATATCCCTTGTTTTGTTTGTGGTGAGATGTCTCGGAAGTTCAGTCTTTCAAAATTAAAAGTTCGTTAACTAGGGATACACCTGGTGTGGATTATTTCCTTCTTTTCTTGTTCTTCTTATGTGCATCCCACCCAATTCCAGGATTGCCCGATGAAGGCATTTTGCGTAAAATAAGCATGTTGTGAAAATAAAAATCAGCACTTTTAACCCAGCCATAAACATAACGGAACTATTTAATGTTAACCATTCACTTTGTATCTTTCGAATATTTACTAAGTATAGACTATACTTTACCATAGAACAAGATGAGTGACGGTCGTTGCAAAAGAGCTCAGAATTATCCCTAATGAAGCTATCAGTCCTCCGAGTAGGGCCACAGCACGGTAAGAATATTTGCTTGATAAATAACTGGCTAAAGGGCCTGAAACAAAACGGAAAGAAACACATTAAACTATTCACTTCTTCCATATATAACAGTTGTTTAATTTTGATTTGATAAGACAAGGTACGAATTTAAGCAATCTGATACATTTTTCTTAATCAGAATTTCACGTAGAACACGATTCACACAACGGGAATTACTGAAACCAACTCCTAACAAAGATATTAACGTTTTTATTTCACATTGGCTACAAGGAATTCGAACTGCCCGCTCACAAGAAATTCAAAGCTCTACGCGAGTCAAATCGCGCACTACAACGGTTTCTGCAAGCCTCTCAATCGAGCAATGTTCATTTTCCACCATGTGTTGCTCAAACTATAAGCAATTTGCTACAGCTGAGCCAAAGCGCAAGACTGAGGTTGCCAGATTTTTACATCGCAGAGACTGTCATGATAACATTTAGCGCGCGATGTGAATCACGTAGAGCATTGAGTTTTAATGAGGGGGTGGTTTGAATTCACGCATCAAGAATCATCAAATATCTTCGTAAGGAGTTAATTTCGGTAATTTTCTATGTGCGCATCGTGTTCTACGTGAAATTTTAGTCACGAAACATGTATCAGAATGCTGAAATTCGTACCTTGTCTAGTGGTCCATTACTTAATTTTCATAAATTAACTTAATGCCTGTTGCTTACAAGGAGTGCAACCCATTGAGGAGACTTTACAGGTAAATTCGGACGCTTAATACATCGAGCGGGAAAGGGTGTAACGAGGCAAATCCCCCTTCTCTGCGAAGCAGGTTCAGGTCATCAGAGGCACATACGTCCTCTGGTAAGATCTACCAACGTTACTAGAGGTGCCGGATAAACTGCAGTGGGATGCCTGGATTCGGGCGCCGTAGAAAAAATAATAGAGAGTGAAATCGAAATTAGAGAGAGAAAATTTTCAACCGAAGGGGAAAGGGAATTTAGCAGAGTTCCGTCTGATGCTGCTCAGCTCGCGCACCACTACTTCACTACTTGCGTCAAAGGTCGAAAGCGTGTTTTCCAACTTACAAGTATTTATTTAATTTAAATTGAGATTTGTCGATAATTTCCACATATATAATTCATCCTTAAAATTCTACAGACATTCTGATCGAAACTCGAGGGGAAATGGTTTCGGAAGGTATGAAAAATAAACTGCATCTCTAAGATCGCCACCAACAAAATCTAAGGTCTACTACTTTTACTTTTCTCAGGAGAACTCGCAGAGAGATGCAGCTCAGCTCGCGCACCTCGCTCCACGCTTTCCATACCGAGGAAAGGCCTCTACTCTTACATGACGTTTGCAGGGGTAATGCTCCTCAGCTCGGGCACCACGTCGCGTCCCACGCAACCGAAACCTAAGAGGTCCAAAGCTGGAGCAAATCTTCGGTAAAGCCTTATCCACCGTACCGCCTATTTGCTCCAACCGCAGACACAACAAGCAAGAATCGCTAGGTAAGAGGAGAAATGCAGGCTCACCCTCGCAGACCAGTGGTCGTCTACGCAAATAGGGAGGAAATATTGTCGTATGCCCGAAGAAACTCTCAAGCTCTCCGCCCATTCAAAACTTCGATCAGCTAACTTAGGGTCTGTGAGCACTATGAATAACGTGCTGTCGATGGAACGACACAGCCCGGCGGAATCGCACACAAGCTTTGCAAATTCGTTCACAACATTGCAACTGAGCCAGTTGGACCCCCTAAGCGTTTGAGCACCTGAGATCGACGGCTGAGGCTCAGAATTTACCAGTCGGACGTAATTCGAGTTTACCGTCGGTCGATTTGGAAACTGTTTGAAAGCTGACACCGGGCTCGGCCGGGATGCCACCGTTTTTAGATTTCAAGCAAAACCAAGTGCTCGAGTTCCGTTCAATTTCGTGAGCATACAAGATATCATAAAAAATATAAAATTTACATAACTGGCTTTGCCTGACTCCCTTTATCGATCTATACAATTTAAATTTAAATGAATTTTTTTTAATATTTTAAAAATACTGGAAAAAATCCCAAAATTGACAGAGTTGCCGCAGCGCTCCCTATTGGCGCGTCGCGGTGCTCGAACCGACGCGACGCCGAGCGTCAGCTAATTTCTCCCTTGGCTCGCAGGCGCGGCGATGTGCTCGCTCGGGACTTATTCCTCGTTTTTTTTTTTCGACTCTCTATAAACTTAAACTTAAAAAACGGGGGGGAAATTTCCCCGTTACGGATCTCCTCCTCCTCGAAATTTAGGAAAACGGGGTTGGAAGAGTAGGGATCAAGACTCAAGGATAATTTAGGAATTTATGGCTTTAATAGCCCTATAGACATAGTTTGATTCTTCCAAACCTTCATACTTATTTTCTAAGTTCTTCATAAAGTGGCTTATTTACATATCAATCGGAGGGACCTTTATAAGTCACCAACGAAAATTACTAACTTTACAATTTTTTTTTTATTTTTACTTTTTTCTTAAATTTTAAAATACAGGCACAGCTTGTGGAACACAATCCTTACTCATCTTTGAGGTAATCCAGCCTCATCCATCGGGGCGCTTTCGGTGAGTTCTCTCTGCTCTCCAATTTCTTCCAAATATGACAAAAACTCCTCAACTTCGTCTCTAGACGGTCAGTCAACCATCTCACACGGCTCTTCCTCATTGAAAACTGCCTCTGCAATGTGAATGCCGAATTCTAGAAATGCAGCAATTGCAATAACTACCTCCTCATCGTATTCATCATTCATCAATTCTGCACCGTCAGGAGCTGCGTCACCCACTTGTGTTTCGAAGGATGTGTTTAGCATGTTGCCTAAATCCCAAGCTCCAGATGCATCCGGGTCACCTGTGTACAGTTCTTCAACGTCTTCCTGGTCATGAAACGCTTTCAGGGTGTTAACTGACTACATCTCTCAGAAGACCCTCAAGTTCTTTCCTGGCTACGTCCCCAGAATTGGGACTGGAATCCTGTTGAGGATGGCCATGTAATGCCTCATAAGCCTTGAGCTGTCATGACCTTTCAGGAAAGCCTCGATTGCATCGTTAAGTGCAACGTCATAACCCAATAAGGGAACATAGTATTTCTCAGCTGTTGCAGCCAGCGACGAAAATATTGCATGGCACATGTTAGCTTGTGCTAACTCTGCGAGAGCTGAGATTTCGAGAGATTGATATATGTCAGCAAATACGGTCCTATTGTTTTTGTGATTCCCGAATCCAGGCCTGTGCTTTCTTGTTTCATGGGCTAAATGCCAGCAACGCGTAATGTACTTCAAACCCATCGCTGACGTGAGGGTGTACCCGTCTGATGTCCCAAGTCTTCCGTGAGCAGAGCAGTACAGAAAAGAAATGAAGATCTGAGCAGACTCATCATCGGACAACTCCAGACTCATTATGTCACTTCTTATAACACAAGGGAGGTCGCTGAACAGAGCCTCGAAGGTTTTCTGTGGGATCCTTGGTATGTATCTTCTCAACAAGCCTTGGATGTTTGCGGCATAGCTTCGCCACAACGGGAACTCGTCTCTGAACTTGTCTGCGACATCTCGCCTTTTTTCCGATAAGACAGCCAAATTCGGGGTTTTTCCCGTGACGTCAAGGACAGTGTCCATTGCAAGAAGAATGGCTGCATGGGCTGGCTTTGATGTCTTTCTGTATCTGTTGTATCTCGTTGCTGCCGTCGTTGGATACTTCATCTTTGATTCATCTATGATTGCCTTAGGCTTCTCCTTTTGAACACTAGTCACCATCCCAGTCGAGGCACCGGCTAGAGCTATATTGGCAAGATATCCAGGCACATACACCAGTTGAGTCCCAACCTTGTCTGTGTTGATGACCCCTTCTTTGTATTGGATCGTTATTATTTCTTCGTCTTCAGCATCTAGGCCACCATATTCTACGTCTACAAATTGGGTTTATATGTCTTCAGTTAAGCATGGTGTAACATTAGCAGCCAGCTTCTCCATCGGCAGTTGGAAAAGGTCTTTGTCCAAAATTCTGAACAAAATGGGATTAGTCCGAATCAGATAGTCTGGAAGCATGGCATAGTTGATATTCTCTCTTTGCATACGATGGAAGTTGTCTGAGCATGCCAGCTCGACTAACCCTATTGCCCGCGCAGCAGTGACAACCGACATGAAATCGATCATCGAAGAATGCTTGTCCATCCATCTTTGCAGGTTTGCACCATCAACGCTGACGGCAGATGTTGTATTCTTAAAGCACGCGATTACATGAATCCTGTGTGCGGTCTTAGGATTCAATCTCTTAACGTTGACGTCTCCACCTATGGAAACCCCAACGATAGGTCTGCAGATCGTTTTGTCGAATCCCCACGACATCAGAAACAAATTCCAGATGATTTGCCCATCAGCTCCCACTTTGTCCATGTAATCGGAGAGCATAGCAGCAGTGTCTATGGCTTTTCCAACAGGGGTTCTTACTAAGCTTAACTCTCCCGTTGACTCATAGATGCTTAAAGTTGGCTTAGGACGCGTAGGCTGCATTGGGAGGATTCCATCATATAGGTTCAAGTTCAAGTTCTTCATAAAGTGGCTTATTCACATATCAATCGGAGGGACCTTTATAAGTCACCAACGAAAATTACTAACTTTACAATTTTTTTTATTTTATTTTATTTTTTTTTACCTTATAACATTACTTTCAACGCTACATTATTTTCAATTACTACAACTGAACTCCCTCTCCGGCGGGTACATGGAATAAGGAAAACATACTTATGAGAGGGAAACATGAATCAGGGGAAACATGAAACTTTGAGGGGGAACATGGATTAGGGAAACAATTTAGGAAATACGTAGGATAAAGTGATAGCACTACATTGCTTGCAAGTTATTTCACAAAGATCTTCTCAAGTAATCTCACTGATTTTTCCCTTGTCTTGTGTTACAAGTAGCAAGGAATCTCACGAATGTGCGGATGAATCTCCGGTTGCCAGTCTGACTCAGACTTGTGACATGGGAAACTGTTGACTTTGACACATCTACATGGAGGAGAGACCAGTGGTCGTCTACGCAAA